ATAAAAGGGTGCACTGTTTATTTTTTCCTATAATTATAACAAAGTGTAAACCACATTTAGCAATATTATCGCTTAGTAACAAACATGCCAAATTTCAAAACACACCTACATATAAATTCACATATATCTTAGGAAATTTTGAATAAAAAAAACTGAAGGTTTTTTGAAGGTATGCCTAGAAATACATCTACTTTAAGGTGATAGTAAAATTTTGATAGGTTATATAAAAAAATTTTTGAAAAATTTACAAAAATTACTTATAATACGTACTTACATTAATAAATACAGACCAAATGCAATTAATATCAAGGAGAAAATTTTGAGAGCTAATTTTTTAAAAACTTCTACGATTTTTACAAAACTTGGCACTTTGGCATAACATTAGTTGTAGAATCGAAGTATGGAATAAGTCGCTACGTCATTTCAGGAAAAGTCTGTGTCAAAATACCTATGTTACAATATATATTACATTTATATATAACATTGTTCTAAGTTGAACTTTCGAGACATGAAAAACAAATGTTTCATTTCATTAATTGGCTCACTCAGTACAATGGGAGATACAGAACTGTCCTCCCCTTTATTGTGCAGAATGTACTAGATTATGATTAGTTACCTACTTTTAACATTTTAAAAACTTTACTCAGAATATTCAAGTATTTATTTAATAAAAGGATAAAAAAGAAGAGAAAAATAAATTCCAAATTAAGGTGCATTGAAAAAATAAATTATACATATTTTTAATTTCATTCCTGTGCTCCAAACAGTTACATATGGACTAATCACTTTTCCATGTGCTCATGAATGCATAAATCAGTTAATACTGTTGAGTCTGGAAATGCACTGCTAACTTTTTTTTTTATTATTATTTCTTTATTATTTATTTAGCATCATTTTAAAATTTGCCTAGAAATTTTGAGAAGAAACTGTTTCATTATGATGAAACATGACATGTGCAACAGAAAAATAAAATAATAAAATTCAAATAGCAATTACTCAAATTATTCAGTACACACAGATACAGAATTATTACATAACAGGATGATGTATAGCAGGCACTACAAACTCTGTTGGCTGCAAGTCAAAATCAACCAAAATGTTGTATACTAAGATGACATTTTGGATCAGTGGCATTTTCATTTTAGAAATGTTTCTCGATGAATAATACGATAATTTTTACGCCAAAAATAATTACAACACATTTAAAACAAATATTAAAATTATAATTCTAATTACTATAAAAAACAAACATATCTCAATGAAACTTATTTTTCTCTTCAACATTGACGGTTCTTCTGATGCTGAACTCAAGATGTCAATTTAGCTAGCTTATAGTTAGTCATCTCAAGCAATTGAATTTTCAGTAGTTAAGCTGCTCCTATTCTTACATAAAATAAATTTCACGTGTGAAAATATTTGCTTGCATCTGCATGCAGACAAAATTTTTTGGAGATTGGGGATGGATCGCCATTGACAAACTTACCAATTTCTCCTTGAAATTATGTTATAATTATTATTTTTTTAAAACAAAAACACATGTTCCCTTCTGTAACTTGGTAATTAAACAAAAATGTTATGGTTATTATTTACTTTTGGTTTATTTTTAATGTATTCTTCAAGTGCTCATATAAACTATTTTTATATATTATACTTTTATTTTTGAAACCTGAGTCACATGAAATTATGAAATGGGTCACAGGCTGCCGAAGGCTGATGCATAGCTAACTCTGACTGCAATGGATATTAATGAGTCTGCCAAAGATTAGTATAAATATTAAGCAAAATTTGCTGCCAGATATTTTACATCCCCCAAATATGTCTATAGATCCTTAAAGTACACTTTGTGTTTGACTATGAAGGAATAGAGATCTGATAGGCTGATGTGCATTGTCAATTGTCATGTGTGGAAAGATTTTGCATAGCTGAAAGATTGTCTTTGGCATATATAACAGCACTGGCAATACAAAGGTTAACAGAATATCAAGACACTGTCAGTCCAGCAAAGTAGCAAGAACGATTACTAAGATTATTATGCAAATGGCATCCCAAATGGTATGAAGGGCAAGTGCCCCTTCATAAGCCAAGCATTTTTTCAGTGTAAGTGTATTTTCCTGAAAGCAAAGCTGATGATGCAACTTTTGCTGAAATAACTCATTGTTTATATAATCATCAAATGAGTCTTGAGAGTATTCTCATTTACTAAAACAAATCACACTTCACATAAGCCATCCAAACTGATACAGTAGCCCAACACTGTACGTCAGAGTTAGGTTAGGTTAGCAATGCACACAAAGGTATTTGCCTAAGGGGAGGGATGCTTTTTGGAAGACTTTGTAAGGTAAACTGGCTCACATTCATGTGACACATACAAAAAACCATGAAAAGCAACTATGCAGCCAGCCCATTTGCGTGGGATCAAACCTAGGTTGAGCTATCGAGCATTTACTGGCTTAACCACTTGACCACTGATGGGACCACACTGCTTGTCAAAATTAACAAATACTAAGAAATAATATTTATCAGAGTGATTAAAAAAATATACAAAAGCATTACTTAACATAAATTGGCATGTTTGCCATTGATTAATTTCAAAAATGATTTAAAGTCAAATTTATTTATATATAAATATATTGATAGATAGATTTTTTTTAAAAATGAGGTCCCGTTTTTGCAAGAGGTCTTTTTTTAACATAATGCATGGTCACTTCTAACATAAATGCAAACTTCACATCCTTACTTCATAGAATTTCCCGGCTATTGATCAAATCTCTTTGGAAGTACACTCCAGTCTTCTAGAAGTGCACTTTTCAGATCATGGATAGTCCAGATGCATTTGGCACGATACAGTGTGGTGACCTAAAGCATCTTCAGATGCTAAATAAGGCTTGCAAATGGCTAATAAACTGACATATCCATTTGAAAGATATTCTCTGTTTTCAAGCATTCTGCCATCAGAGAGGCTTGATTTATAAGAGCATTGTCATCCAGTAGCAAAAATTTGGATTAATAGCAACTCCAAACAGCCTTATGGGATTCTAACATATCTGTGACCAGTTACAGAACCTCTATCAAAGATACATGCAGCTTGGTATGCTCATTTTTTATTGCAACCACACCATGAAACCATTTTAATGAACAAGGGAAGGTAAGTTATGCATTTCTTGCTCCAAGAAAATTAAAACACAGCTGGAATCACAGTTCAAATTTGGACATGTCAGCAAGCAGTACAATGTCTCAATCTTTCAGTGATCATGATGATGATGTCATCTAAAATAGGACCCTTTGGAAAATAAAGAGAATGTGATACAAACCATCAGTTTTCTCACATAGTCTTTGCTGGAATATGAGGATGAAACCCAGGTTGGACAACCCTGTAGTATAAGAGGAAGCATGTTTCCATACATCACAAAGATAAATTGGTTCATATATATACTCACTATGAGAAGGATAGAAACCAACAATCCCTAAGCTGTCAAGAAATGAACGTGGGACAAATCATCATTATCTCAAGACATTAGGCATCTGGCCACAAGTGCACACATACGAAAAGCAAATTTTATCGCGTAAGGAGCAGTGTTATAATAATTCCAGCATTAGAAGTTGCTCTTTCATTTCAGTTGCTAAATTTTGCTTTAGACCATTTTGCTTTAGACAATTATCAACAAGTATTTAATAACTGCAGATAATACTGCATCTCAGTTTAGGAAGGAAATTCTCTCCCTTCACTATTTAGAGGTATTTACAGGACAGAATATTCTGTACAGAGACCTCAGAACTGTTTCAATGAAATAAACATTTATCCACTATTCTTAATAAATTTATTAACACCTAATCTTTCTATTTTTGCCATCCATCAGTTTGTATTACTCTTCTTAATTTTGTAGGTATAACAAGACTACATTCTTATATATTTCAACTTTACAAACAATGTTAGTCTTGAAAATTTATAATCATTTTAAGGTACTATTCCCCATTTACTAACACCTTCAGTCTTTAAAAATTCACAAAATACAGTCCATGCCACTACATTTATGTCTTAACTCGTACATATTGTGGTTTATCATTTCCCTTTTTCTTTCAACAAACAATTAATTAATTATATCAAAATAATAGATATTTCCTATAGTACAGGTATGATATGTGCGCTTCTCTTCAGCTACTAAAACAGTTCTCATTAAAATAAACAAAGATTAATAACAAAAGAGTTATACAAATACACTACTGCTAAAGACAGCCTATTTCTATGAGCAATTTTATACTAATTTTTATTCATGTAACACAACTATTAAAGTGTTGTGATAAGAAGTATATACATTATTACATAACTCAAAAGAATGGACAGATTTCTGCTGAATTCTGAAACTTGTTTTTCTCCCCTTTTTGACATTCAAAATGCCAAATTTAGAAAAATGTCACAAGATTATTTAATGAATTCTAAGCTACTTTATTACGGAAAAAAAAAAAAAAACTGATGGCTAATATACACAGGAAAAATACTTTCAAAAGCAAAGTCCCTAGATGAAACTGGTCCAAATGCACATTATGCATAAGAAAAATCACAAAAATCCTATGCACATTACCAATAAGAATCAAACTAAAGTTAATCAATTAGTGTTCTCTATTTTCTGTCAACTCAATTATTGAAAGGTTTAGATCAAATAATTATAGTCTTATTCAAGACAAAATAATTCTGAAATGTGAAGCACTCTGCCCTCCACAAAAGCTGCAAATGACTAAAGTATTTTAAAAATGCATTCACCAAAATATCAAACATGATCTGGTCTGAAAATAGCAAGCATTTAATTTATACCAAAATACCTAAATCTTTATATTTTTCTCTCTACGAAACAACAATGCCATTAGTGAAAACATAAGGAAAAAATGTTGCAAATTGTTATTTTTTTTTAATTATAAAAGGACTACATAATAACTTTTGTCAAGTTTCTTTCTCCATGTTACTGTGAAAGAATACAAATTCAAAATTTTATGAATATACTTACCCCTATACTGCATGACATCCGACTGAAATTCTGATTCATATTCATAATGAGGATCATAGTCTTCCCCCATAACGTCAGAAGCAGGTTTATGAGTATAGTCAATACTCTTAAAATGTGGAGGTCTTTCACCAAAAAACCGATCATCTGGAAATCTTCCCCTACCAGCAGGTCCCGGTCCGGGCCCAGGCCCAAATCCTGGTTCAAATGGTGCTCGTAAAATACCACGTCCGGGAGGCATTCTGGGTGGCATTGGACCATCTCCTGGGAATCCAAACCTAAAATTTTACGTTAAAATTTTAATTGTTTTTTAAAATTATAGTTTTTATATTCATTATTTAGATAAGAATTGTGCAAAAATCTATATCTGGCATTCTCGATATTTTTTGCCCTATACACCCTTTTTACCATTGCTGGAAGATCCCCCCACCCTCCTTTCTTATATTCATAAACTAAAACTAAATACTTAACAGACTGCATTCCCATCTGAAACTATGAAATTCCTCATGAAGGAATCCCCGTAGTTAAGAGCTGATCTGTACAATAACTGGAATAAGTTCCATGATTACAATCATAAGGGAAGTACACAATGAAAAATTCCTAATTTTACATGTACAAGAATTTAAATAACTATAGCATTTTACAGAGCTATAATTTTTTGGGGAAGAGGTATTTCAAAACTTAATAATTAAACATAATTATTTCAGTTAACATCATTCAAGTTACCTACAAAAGGTAGTATTTTTAAGAAGCTTCTTAAAATATTAGCATTTCCTTTTTACAGTAATCTTGGCAAAATAAAGAAAATGGTGTTTGCAAGAGGACAATTTTCACAAGCACTTTCTAATATTCAAATAAGCCATTTGTTCAATAATTACACAATTTATTTAATACAGTTTGAAATGGTTGCTATTTTTTAAGAAATCCTCACAAGGAGACAAAAGTAGCTGCCGTCATACAGCTTCTTTGTTAAACTTGGCCACAAAAAACATTCGAGCGAGCCATTAGACTGCAGCAATTCCTAAGCAAGGTGTAGGATAATCGTTTTCATATATCATAATTTTAAATTTTATAATTATATATTTTATAAGAATATTTTAGGGCTATGGAACAAATTATCTGAGTATCCATTATTTCTTAAAATAACTCTGATATAAGATTGTTTCAGATGGCAAGCACATTTCTGGAATAAATTATGCCTAGAAACCTATGCATCATTGAATATCTTTCCTTTATAATATGCTTAAAAAAACTACACTCAGGAAAGGTGAAATTTTCCTTGAGAGGACTGAATCAATCTCAAGGTCATTTAATTTTTAGACTTCTAATGTTTATTTAGCCAAAGCTACTTTCTTCAGCTTCAAATCACTTTCTGCATCCTATGAAAAGCAATCAATTAGGCAATATTCACTACTAAAAGTGAGAATACATTAAAATGGCTCTAGTAATGCCAGCAAATTGTCTGAGAGAGAATGTGATAGTCAAGGATGACATGTTCAAATACTCCTAGTATATTACAGATGACAGAAGGCTATACATAAAATATTACACATGATAAGCTTTGTTTGCCGTCTTCAGTACAAGGCCGAACAGGAGAGGTTACCTACTGCTGAAACTGCTGTTGTTGTTTATCCTCCAAAACTCCTAAAAAAAAAAGGTCAGCCAAGATCTGAAGGTCTGTTTACCATAACCAATAGGTTCCCAATGTGGGCATTTGAGGCTTTCAGAGGGGGGGGAAGACCAGAGAAAATTAAGGGGCATTGATATGGCGTGGGAAGATTAACCAAATATAGTCTAAAAAATGCTGCTAATAAGCAGTAAATAAACATCTACAACTCAAAACTATTAAACGTAGCACGAACAAAATTTCTTTGAACAAAAGCGAAAGAGAAAAAGAGAACTGCTCCAGTGAAAAGCTAAACAGCTAACTGATAAAATTAGCCCTGAACTTCAGAAATCACCCCAACAATTTTAGCTGATAACCAAACCTCCCCTCCTCACCACCACCACCACCCCCAAAACAGAAAAGAAGAAAGAGGAAAACTATGTAATGACCTGACCTGAATTAATGAATTGTAAATGACCTGACCAATGAGCTGCAGAGAAACAAAGCTACTGGTTTTGATCTTGTCCTAGTCTCTCAGTAAGCCCACTCTGGGCACCCCTGATGTTTGCTGTTCGATTTGAGGCAAGATTTCAAGGTAAAAATTTAAAACTAAAATAGAATAAGGAGATTAGCATATGGCCCAGAAAATAACATAGAAATTTCTTTTCAAACAATTCCTTTTATATCCTAAAAAAAAATGTGGAAGATTTCTTTGAAAAATGAGGGTCTTAAAAATTAAAAAATTAAACATGGTTAAACTATATGGACTGGTTTGTCTTCGGTTGCCATCTACTATAAATAAAGAAGGTTCAGAGAAACATATAAATAAAGAACTGTAAATTCTTTTTAATTCAATTTTTTCTGTGCATACAGAAAGAAATTTTTAGATGTGCCGAAACCAAGCACAGCATGCTGCAAAGGGTTAAGAAAGCAAAGAACAAGAAAGGGGTTGGAAAAAACATTCCAAGATATGCACAGCCGAAGCCTGATATTAGGACATTTGGTACAGCTGTCAAAGACTTTCCTGACCCCATAGAAAGAAAGGCACTTGATGTAGCCAATTGCTGGTAGCAAAAATGCAGTTAGGGTGCTGAAAAATCCAGAAAACATTTGATTTTTATTTCCGTTAGATGGTGCTTCTGTTAAAAAAAAATATTAGTTTACCTTACAATGCTCAAAGGGTAAAGAACCACTAATGCCTTCTGGGCCTCTTTTAAAATAAATAATTAACATTGCAAAATTGCAATAGTGTCTTCTCCCGCCATTACTATAACCATCTCTTGTATTTTTTTCACAAAGAGCCCCTCTCACATATAAGGGTTAGATCCAATCCCTGCCTTTACCAGTGATGGGTGGGAGGTGCCAACCACTATACCTTATTTTGTGACTTTTTCAAGGAAAACAATCAGTTCCAAAAAAGTAAGGCTGGAGGAGGAGGGAGCGAAATGAGTACAACTCTCCTTTGTCATTTTGTCTGCTGTTTCACTGCTGTAAATGTCTATGTGAGATAAGATCCACTGTAGACGGGCATCATGGTGCAGCAAAACCAGCTTTAATTTACATAGGGTGGAAACACTGGCTTTATTGCCTACTGATAGGGAACTTCTGCTATCAGATAAGACCAAATGTCACCAAATTGCTGCTTTATGCATATAAATCTTTTTTTATGATAATAACAAGCTGCTCAGATAACATTGTCTATAAGAACTTAAAATATAAAACTGTGCTACTTAACCTATTTTGCCTCATGTGCCCTTTTCACCATTACTAGATCACTCCACCCTCCTTTCCCAAACTCGAAAAATACATACATATACTTAGATTATTGTTTCAATATGCAGACATTTTCAGGTATACAGGCAACAACTTATCTTATCCGTGTGAACCAAACGTATCCCACATATAAGATTAGTGAAATTTTATTTAAATTTCAGTGATTCTTTCTTTTATGCCTTATTTCGCCACTTACTTACTCAGTCTAGACTTTTATGCAACTTGTGTCAAGTGGTATATCCACAATAAGGGAAGGCAATAACTCACCTTAACCCTTTTGACCCGACTTTTGGATGATTAAAATTTAACTATGAAAAGCAGTTTAATTTAATGTTGACATACTAATAAAGTGTAATATATGAATTTAAAGTTTTTAACTTTTCCCACTGCCTGGAAATCTTCTGGGACAATATGTCTCAATCGTCTAAGATACTACCCCTTCTCAAAAAACAAATCTAAAATTTGTGGTAATATATAATGTGAATATTACAAAACATAAATTTTGCCACATGCACCAGTTCATGTACAACAATTTTCATATATTTTTCATAAACATAATATATCGGCATGTCGTAATTTGATCACTGATGGGACATATTAACTCACTGTTCAATACGAGTGAGACAATATATCCCACAAAATGAATTTATTCAAAATTTCTTAAATCTGACATTAAAAAAATTAAATTACTACTTAATATGAACAATTTCATACTAAGCATGCCTTAAATATAATTGTATTTATTGTAAAATTTTAAAAAATAGACAAATCGAAATTTAAGTAATCAGCGTGCTCAAAAACATAAATGTACAATTTGCAATTTATAAAGTGTTGCCAAGTTTCTTTAGTCATATATTTGTTCCCTAATTCCTTAAAAATACTGTAAACATAAAAGCCCATTTAAAAGTGGGCTTTACCCAATAGACCATGAAATTTAATCTCTGGGATGCATGTGCCCAATAGGACCAAAAGGGTTAACATGTAGAAATAACTACCAAGGTTGAGCAGTTAGTTACAAATAATTAAATTACGTAGTTACTCTTAGTCATAATAGATTTTCCCCCCTTATTTAAAAAAAAAAATATCCATTTAAAAGCACTAAGAACCTTTCACGCCAGCACTTGAGATTCTAAAGATATACTCTTTTTAAATACTTTGTGATATTGCAGTTGAACTGGTACCTACAACCATCAAATTTTGAATAGCATAGTCATCCACCTCAATATGGACACCTGGAAGCCTGAAGTTTGAATTTGTTTTATTGTGTATTTCCTATTTTGTAAACCTTTTAATGAATTTTTGATTAACAAACTCAACAAATTCACAACGAGCAATGGCAACACTACATGGGAAATTTCTTTTTTAATCTTCAGCGCATAAGACTGTCCATCAAAAATTCTAAGCATAGGCTGCTTTTAAATATTTTCAGCTCAAAGAAACATTAGTGCAAATGCTCTTGAATGTGTAAATGGAAAAAACACCCCTTTTGGCATAATATAAAATCTGAAAGCTTTTAGATTTTTTATTATTTATTTATTATTAGTCGTAATGCTAAGTCTTTCAAAAACAGATGTCTGCTTCTATATCTGGTTGACGATTAGCAGTTGAAAGTAATATAATTACAGCATTTAAAGCAGCAATATTCAGTGCAGAAAAGAAAATTTCCATTGGCCAATATGTTACCATTGGCCACTATTTCCACTCCCTCATATTATAAAAACCTTTAATTTCTGCATTTTTCTTTCTCCAGTAGTATCATCTATAGCAGAGCTTTTTTAACTTTCTTCACTCACGACCCCTTTTTATCACTGAGATTTTTTCGCAATCCCAGATTTTAACACTAGAATTACGGAAGAGGTCATTATTATACATAGCGAACTTTTATCTCTGACAGCTCTT